AGCTTTCTCGTTTAAATCATGTGACACCCATAATGGTATTCAAATTTTGCTATCACCCTGACTGAGACTTTCTTTCTTTCTTTCTTTCTTTCTTTCTTTCTTTCTTTCTTTCTTTCTTTCTTTCTTTCTTTCTTTCTTTCTTTCTTTCTTTCTAATGTTGACTCAAGGTTGTAAGATCTAAAAAGAGGATTTTGTCTGTAAAGCAAATGATATCACTGGAAATTTAAAAAAGAAACGAAAACCCTAACCTTTCTTCCCACAGAATTCCCAGAGTCCTTTGCAATGCTCCTGTTAGAACTCTTTTCACATAGTGTATGAATTATCGATTTGCCATCTGGCTCTCTCCAGGGCTCACGGGTTCCTCAAGGGCAGCCCGTTCTTCCTGGGAGAAACATTGAATGAGGTGTTTACTTTTCTACACTTTGGCCAATATCTGTAAACACCCAGTGAGGAGAATTGCTCCTGGGTGGAGAGTCTGAGCTTGCCCACTTCCACATGAACTGGCCAGGTATGTAGGTGGGAGTATGCCTGGGTAAGATTTCCTGGAGTGTGGGACTGGGGCAGCCGAGGACCTGGACTTGCTGTTGACAGTGTCCATGCTATTTCATGGGGATGAGGGTGTTGGTGACTGTGTTTTTCTCCACATCTGTGTGTTAAGCCTGTGTCTGCTTTGTTGTACTCAGTTCATAGCCCTTCAGAATCCCCCAGTGAGGGACTGAGGACATGGCTCAGTGGTAGAGGACCTACCCAGAATTCCCCAGTGAGGGACTGAGGACATGGCTCAGTGGTAGAGGACCTACCCAGAATTCCCCAGTGAGGGACTGGTGTGTGATTCAATGGTAGAGCACCTGCCTAGAACCTACTAGCAAGGGGCTGGGGATGTGGCTCAGTGGTAGAGCACTTGCCTAGCACATTTGAGACCCTGAATTCCATCCCAGCATAGCACAAAAACCACAGCAAAAGCACCAGTAGAGACTCAGTGACCAGCACCTCCTATGCACGTGTGCCCATGGCCTCCTGCTATGCCTTCTGTGGCACTGCTGTTTGCTCTGTGTCATGTTCTTGTCCCTTTCATGTCCCTACTTCATGTGTCTGAAGTGACTGTACCACACTCTGTATCTTTATCCTGTGACCAAAGGCCTTGTGTTGGGACTCGACCCTGAAGTCTGGGAAGCTGGCAGCTGGGGATTAGATATCATGAAAATAACATGAAACAGGCAGGTGAGAAAAAGATCTAGGTCTGTTCCCGGGCAGGGGCAGGGTGTCAGACTCTATACAGTTATGTTTCCCTTTCATAGGTTTCCAACCTTTTTCGGTATTTGTATTATAATTACATGAATGGTCCTTAGTGGTTTAGAGTCATCATAACTACTTTACCGAGCAGTCAGATCTTCTGTGATCCCATTGAGGGCAAGAAGAAACTGAAGCTCAGAGATAAGTTCACTGACCCAAGCAGACGGCAGAGTGCAGGTTTAAGCTCTGGGACTGGGAGACGATTTGGTGAGTACAGTGCTGGCCTTGTAGTCAGCCAGGCGTGGTGGAGCCTGTCTATAATCCCAGCACTGGGGAGGGAGGCAGAGACAGGAGGAGATAGGCATCCCACTCCCAACATCCTCCCAGATTCATCCTTCTGGGACCGATCCCATCACTGTGAGGTCCTGGGGTGCAGGTGCATGAAGGAACTGGGCTTGGACCCAGTCGATATGGCTCCCTAGGTGGTTCTAACACTTTTCTTTTTTAAAATTGTGCGTTTTATTATTTTATTTATTTATGTGTATAAGTGTATTGCCTGCACATATGTAAGTGCACCTGTGATGTGCAATGTCTGAGGAGGACAGAAGAGGCCATTGGATCCCCTGGAACTGGAGTTATGGATAGTTTTTAGCTGCCGTGTGGGTGCTGGGAACTGAACCCAGGTCCTCTGCAAGAGCAACAAGTGCTCTTAACTGCTGAGCCAGCTCTACAGCTCAAATTGTGTTTATTGTTATTGTGTGTGAGTATGTATATGCTGGATGAGGGGGTTGCACGTTTGGAAGTCAGAGGGCAACTTTGTGGAGTTGGTTCTTTCTTTCCTCCTTTATGTGGGTTCCAGGAATTCAGGTTGTCAGGCTTGTGTGGCAAATGTCTTTACCACTCACCAGCCCCCACCCTTTCATTTCATATATATATATGGGGGGTGTATGTGTTCATATGCATGTGTGTGTGTGTGTGTGTGTGTGTGTAGCTATCATAGATTAACATTGGGTGCCCTATTTGACTGCTCTCCGCTTATTGTTTGAGACAGAATCTCCCATGGAACCTGGAGCTCACCATCTCAGCTAGAATTCCAGCCAGAACTCCAGGATTTTCCCATCACTGCCTCCCCAGCACTGGAATTAGGGTTGTATTTCCATGCCTGGCTTTTTACATGGGTGCTTCGGATCTGAACTTGGGTCCTCAAGCTTGCATGGCAAGCCTGTACACACTGAGCCATCTCCCCAGGCCTCATGCTTTCTTTTGTTATTTAGTGGTCTAGGGATGGAGCCCAGCCCCTCCCCCAATGCCTGGTATCACTCCATCACTAAGCTCCATCCCAGCCACAAAATCACACTGTCGATCATCCCCTGTCATCTTTACAACAATCGGACAGTGTAGAAATACTACCCATTTTACAGATGAGGAAATTTTCAAGGTGTGGTGGCACATATCTGTAATGTCAGCTTTAGGGAGGCAGAGGCAGGAAGGTTGCTACAAGTTTCAGGCCAGCTATAGAGTGAGATCCCACTTCTAAAAACAAAAGGAAGAGGAGGAAGAGGAGGAGGATCAGGAAAGGAAAATGTCTTGCTATGTCCAGGTGGAGCTCAGAGGAAAAGCTCAGCTTGTCTGAGGCTGTGGGTTCCATATCCAGCACCACATACCTCCTTTTGGGTTATAGGGTAGAAGGGGAGCCTTCTGCCCTCTCCCTCTCTGTCTTCCTCTCTCTGGGTCTGTGTTTAGTGTGGGAGAAGAGGAGGCTGGTTTCTTCTCATCAATTTGCTTTTGTTATTTTATGTGTATGAGTGTTTTGGCTACATGTATATAAGTACACCCATGTCTGCAGTGCCTGTGGAGGTTAGAAGAGGTCATCAGACCCTCTGGAACTAGAGTTATGGATGGTTGTTACATACCATGTGGACGCTGGGAACTGAACCTGGGTCTTCTGGAAGAACAGCCAGTGCTCTTAACTGTTGAGCCATCTCTCCAGCCCGTCTTGGCAATTTGTAAGCACTCCTTATAGATGATCTATTAATTTTATGTTGTCAAGAGTGTGGCAAAACTTCCTCCCCCACCCCCACCTTTTGTACATGGTCTTGCAGAGATTCAAAAAGTGTTATGCAAATAAAATCCATCTAGTTCATTATTCCAATGCAGGGGACCCCAGCCACCCAAGTCTCTGGCCTCCTTTTTAACTTACTTAGTATTTATTGGGATACTGGGGACAGAAGGTCTTGTGAATGTTAGGTAAGTGCTCTACTACTGAATTACATCCCCAAGTTCCTCACTGGGGGATTCTAGGCAGGTGCTCTACCACTGAGCCACACCCCAGCCCCTCACTGGGGGATTCAAGGCTGATGCTCTACCACTGAGCCACACCCCAGCCCCTCACTGGGGGATTCTAGGCAGGTGCTCTACCACTGAGCCACACCCCAGCCCCTCACTGGGGGATTCTAGGCAGGTGCTCTACCACTGAGCCACACCCCAGCCCCTCACTGGGGGATTCTAGGCAGGTGCTCTACCACTGAGCCACACCCCAGCCCCTCACTGGGGGATTCTAGGCAGGTGCTCTACCACTGAGCCACACCCCAGCCCCTCACTGGGGGATTCTAGGCAGGTGCTCTATTGTTTGAGCTACATCCTCAGCCCTTGGTTTTTTTGAGACAGTCTTGCTCTATAGCCCAGGCTGGCCTGGAACTCTCATTCCTCCCACCTCAGCTTCCCCTGTGCTGCAATTATAGGTGTATGCCACCATATTCTGCTCACTTTTGCTTATGTGTATGCATGTATGTATGTGTGTGGTACATGCACATATGTGTGGAATGCACAAGCCAATGTATATGTGTACACAGAGGACCCAAGTTGTCCTATCTCCAACTTAGTTTCAAGAAACAGGATCTCACTGAACCTGGAGAGAGGCTGTCAGCCAACAAGACCCAGAAATTCTCCTGTCTCAACCCTCCATGGTACTGGAGTTGCAGGGGTATGCGGTCACATTAGGTTTTTTACATGGGTTCTGGGGATTTGAACTCAGGACCTCATGCTTGCACAGCAAGTACTTACCAAAGCACCTCTGTAGCTCCTACTTTTTCCATTTTAAAAAGAAATTTCCCTTTATATTTAATTATGTCTATTCATATGTGTGTGTGGAGTTATGCGCACTCTAGTTCAGTGCCCATAGAGGCCAGAGGACAGTGTCAGATCCCCTGGAGCTGGAGTTACAGGCAGCCATGAGCCACCTGGCATGGGTGCTGGATCCTCTGCAAGAACAGTATGTGCTCTTAACTGCTGAGCCATCTTGCCAGCTCCTACTCTTCCCATTTTTCCTTTTCTTTTTGTCTTTTAAAAAAATTATATGTATGAGTGCTTTACCTGCAATGCCTATGGAGGCCAGAAGAGAGCATTGGGTCCCCCAGAACTGGAACTATATTTTTTAGCCACCATGTGGTTTCTGGGAATCAAACCCAGGTCTTCTGCAAGAGCAGCTAGTGCTTTTAACCACTGAGCCATCTCTCCAGCACCCCCCCCACACACACACTTGACTTTCTTAAAGAAAGTCAAGCACCAAGGCGTTAAGGATCTTATGCAACTATGTCTCCTGTCCACCGTATTAGTCAGTGCTGTGCATTTTCCCACACTGGTTAGGGAGGGCTCTGGCTCCTAGGTGGGGAGGTGGCTCCTTTTTCCTCCTTATCTTCCAGCTTCCCCTTTCCCATGGGTCAGATGCATAAATAGACAGCAGATGGTGACTGCCACCCAGTGTCACCATGTCCCCACTGTGCCCACTGATGCTGGCCTTGGCCCTGGTGGCTGTCCCTGGTGCCCAAGGTGCCTGCCCGGTGCCTGCGGACCTGAAGGACACAGACGGCATGCGCACATGTGCCAAACTCTATGACAAGAGTGACGCATACTATGCCAATTGCTGCCAGGGTGCAGTACTGTCGGTGGAGCCCGGAGCAGACCTTCCCTACCTGCCTTCGGGCTGGGCCAACACAGCATCGTCTCTGGTAGTGGGGCAGCGTTGTGAGCTCACGGTGTGGTCCCGGCCTGGCAAGGGCGGTAAGACACGCAAGTTCTCAGCTGGCAGCTACCCTCGCCTGGAGGAATACCAAAGGGGCATCTTTGGGAACTGGGCCAACTCCATCTCCGGTCTCTACTGCAAGTGAGTCCGTGTCCCATAGCTCCAAACCCCTCCCAGCCCCATCACCGAAGCCCAGAGGTACCTGCCTTACTAGGAAAGGAAATGGTTATCCTCAAAGCGATTCCCCAGGGCCCATCTCTAAGTGCACCTCTGGACCAGCTGTCCTGCACCCTACACCATAACTTGTCCCTCTGAGTCTTTGAGACAAGTTCTGGGCTCCCCAGACTAGGAAGCTGACACCCTCATTCCCACCCTGCTTCCCTAGAATCCCACCCTCCCCTAAATTCCCCCTTGATCCGTCCTTCCAGAGGGGCTGCTTGGCCTGGGAATGGGGCAATCATTGGTTCTTTGTTTGGGGACCCCTAGATCCTAAGCTAGTTCCCCCCCAACCCAAGGTCATTATTACATTTGAAAACCCCTAGACTAAAAACCAAACTTTCAAATCATCTGAGGCCTCAAGGCCCCAGGCCCAAGTCTGGAAGACTCTCCTCTAGCTCTCACCTCCACACACTGTCTAGATCAGCCTCAAACCCAGAAACCAGTTACCACAGCTTCCAGCCCCAGCTTGGGGATTCCCAAGTCCAGCCATCACACATTCCCAAGCCCCCAGGCCCCAGGGAACCTCCATCCAGCTCTGGCACTATTCCAAACCAGCCCTAGGTGCACCCCCCAAACCCATCCCAAACTCTCTGAACCTGGAGCCTTGAACCACCCCCTCCTCAGATCTCACCACACTGGGGTCTTGGGCACCCTGGTGGGAATTCTTGTTTCTATTATAGATGCAGTTGATGCCTTGAGGGTCTGTCATCTCCAACCTCCCACTGTGCTGAGCCCAGCCCAGCCTGTCACTGGGGGCTGCCACAGGCAGAAAGACCCAGGAGGAGGAGTGCACACCCTGCTGTCTGCCACCTCACTTTTGTTCTCTGTAATACAGCCTTGCAAAGTTACCCCCGGCTGCCATCTGCTTGTGTTTGAGACCCAAGTCCACAAAGGACACAGAGTGGGATGGGATCGGGGAGAGTGGGGTGATCAGATGGGTCAGCCCATACCGGGAACACGGAGATAGACTCTGACTTGGGATTAAGGGTGCACGAAAACACCCACGGGGACATGGGAGGGCACGGCCAGCTGCTGGCTAAATCTTCAAATGATTCTTGTACTCTTGTAAGTAGCCCTTGGCCATTCGTGACTGGAACAGCAAGGGTCTTTCTAGAACCTTGCCCCAGGCTAGGGTCAGGGTCTGTTGAGTGATGTGGTAGAGGCTTCTATTTTTGTTACGGTTGTTATTTTGTCTGTTTCTTTTAGATACTAGAGATGAAACCCAGGACCTTGCAAATGTTAGGCAGGCGCTCTACCACTGAGCCACACCCCAGCCCCTCACTGGGGGATTCTAGACAGGTGCTCTACAACTGAGTCACACCCCAGCCTCTCACTGGGGGATTCCAGACAAGCACTCCTCAGCTGTGCCACATCTCCAATTCCTTTTGCTTTTTATTATTGTTGTTGTTTATTATTAGTTTTTGAGACAGGATCTCCCTGTAGTCACACCTAGCCTGGAATTCACTATGTAGACCAGGCTAGCCTCAATCTCACAGGGGTCTACCTGCCTCTGCCTCCTGAGTGCTGAATTAAAGGCATGTGCCACTATACTGGGCTATTATCTTATTTGAGACAGTGTCTCGCTACGTAGACCAGGCTGGCCTTGAACTCACAGATATCCACCTGCCTCTACCTCCTGAGTGTTGGGATTAAAAGCATGAGCCACCAAGCCCAGCTTGGGAGTCTGAGGATGCTAGAAACAGGGAATCCTGGAGGGAGAGATGTGGGGCCAGCAGGAATGGAAACTAGGATGACTTGGAGGCAGGGCAGGGATTTGGGGAGACTCAGAGTTAAGAGGTAAGTGAAAACTTCAAGGGCATACAATGCAGGATATAAAAAGATCAGAAGTTAGGGACTGGTGAGATGGCTCAGTGGATAAAGGTGCTTGCTGCCAAGACTGATGACCTGAGTTCAATTCACAAGACTTGCATGGCAGAGGGAGATATCAAAGGTCAGGCTGGGTCCGATGGTGCAAACCTGTAATGCCAGCTACTCAGGAGGCTGAGGCAGAAGATTGAAAAGTTCAAATCCTGGGCCACTTAGCTAAATCCTGTCTCAAATTTTAACTAAGTAAAAAGAACTTGCAGAATATAGTTCAGTGGTAGAGTGCTTTTCTATTATAATTGCAAGACCTGGGTTCAGCTCCTAGTACTGGAAAAAAAAAAAAGAATAGAAAGAATTAGAGGTCGGCATCAAGGTCAATGCAAAAGATTGTGGGGTTACTAAGGTGCTAGAGGGACAGTGGGATATAAACTGAGGAAAGTTCTAAGGACCAAAGACCAGGGCAGCACTCTGAGCAGATAGTTTACTCATAGTCCCACGGGGAAGGTTTATTGAGGACCTACTATGTGACAAGCACTGGGTTTACAAGGGGTGGCCCGAGCCCAGAGTCACACACCCAGAGATGTGTGATGTCAAAGAAGGCCCCAAGGAAGACCAGGAAGATTGAGGGACCTGGTCAGAGAGAAGCAATCACGAAGGGCCTGGGAGTGAGCAAGGGAGCAAGGTAGGTCCAGGAAGGAGTGAAGAAAATGGGTCAGAGGAAGTATTGAGGGTCAGGGAACTGGGGAGGGGTTAGGCTGTGCTAAGGACAGACAGATATGCTGAAGGGACTGGGAAGTGCTAAGCATGAGGGAAATGCTAAAAGCTCAGGGGTGACAAACACCAGAGACTTCCATGAGATCTGGGGAGTGGAGGGCTGTCTCAGAGAGCGCTGGTCAGCGGTCACTCCCGGAGCTGCACAGACACAGAGGAGTCAGTCACCCTGGTCCGCCGCAGCCCCCCAGGCTCCATGCGGTTCTTAGCCTTATGTTGGAAGTGGACGAAGCGCACACCAGGGCCATAGTGGCGGAACACGTGGGACACCTGTGGAGGCCCCAGGGTTAGGAAGAAAGCCTCACATGGCCCTACAGCCCACTGTCCTCCCTCCTTCCTCCTCCCTCCCAAGGTCTTGGGAAAAGAATACTTGTATGATTCAGGGCCTGGCAGGGCATCTCACCTGCACCCAGCGGCCAGGGGGGCCTCTTCCATTGGTCCGGGGGGCCACATGGTGCTGGGCAATGACTGTGCGGCGGTCAGCTGCCAGCAACCAGACATGCAGCTCATAGACACACTGGTCCAGGCGGCTGTCTTCGAACCTGGAAGGAGGGTTAGGCCTTTACTGCCACTGCAGCCCAACATGCCAGCCCCAGTATCCCAACCTCATCATCCCATCATCCCAGCTCTAACATCTCAGCTCCAAGCCCCGGCCCCAGGCACACCACACACACACACACACACACACACACACACACACACACACAAACACACACACACAGACACAAGTGATTCATCTCAGAGGGAGAAAGAGAGAGAGAGAGAGATGACAGAGAGAGAGAGAGAGAGAGAGAGAGAGAGAGAGAGAGAGAGCACCTGGGACCATCCTTTTAGCTCTGGGTTGTGAGAGTTAGCAGGACCCTACTACCCCCTGTCCTTGGGGTTCCACTGTCCAGCTGGAGAGAAGACATGTCACTAGCAGTGACTGTATTTATTGTGGGTGAGGAGAAGCAGGCAGAGGGTGAGAAAAGATGGGGTACAGACAGAGGGTCAGGGTGGGATGGAACCTCAGGGAGAGGGTAAGAGAAAATGGGGGTATAGACAGATGGTTGGGGTAGAATGGAGGTGTAGACAGAGGGTCAGGGTAGGATGGGGTGTGCAGGCAGAGATTTGGGCTGGGATGGGGAGCACAGAACACTGGACAAATGCATATGCCACAGTCAGGGGTAACTGGGGAAGGCTTCCAGGTAGACGTGTGTAACTGCCCCTTCAAGAGGAGGATTTGCAAAGGAGATGAAGGAACAGCCTGGCCCAGACCACCGAGGGAAACTGCCCAGTTGACACCTGAAAGATGTGGAGGGTGGGGGCCAGAGGAGGGCAGGGCCAGGTGGGACCACATTGACAGAGGGTTGGTGAGGAACTCAGGGCCCTGGAGAGCAGGGAAGGCCTAATCTCTGGGGACCCCTGGGTGGTCAAGGTCAGGCAGTCATGCAGGGTGGGACACACCAGTCCATGATGGTAATGTCCGGCTGTTCATCATCCAGCAGCTCCTCCCACAGCTTCTTGGCCAGCAGGTTCACACACTGTTCTTTCACAGTCCAGCTGCGAAGAAATGAAGATGGGGGATGTAGGGCTGGGAACCCCACAACCCTGGTCTACACAGTGAGTTCAGGCCAGCTGAATGAGGTTACAGGATGACCCTGTCTGGGGGTGTGGCTCAGTGGTAGAGCACTTGCCTAGAATCCCCCAGTGAGGGGCTGGGTCTTAACTCAGTCCTAGAAGCTTGTGTAGCCTAAGGGGGGCTTTGCATTCAAAATGAAACCAAAACAAAGAAGGGACTTGACAGTGAGCCCCTGAATCACACCCTTTCACCCACAGTACAGACACAGGGTGGGGTTAACAGAGGACCTGTGGTGACCTCAGGTGACTCACTCTCCCATTGACAAAGAATGAGACTAAGATTCCTAGCTGCTGTTTAATGAACACCTACTGTGCGCTGGCCAGATTTCACAGAAGCCTATGCTGCATGTTTTGGAAGCATTCCCTTATGACGAACTCTGTTACTAGAGCAAGAAAGAGGGGCCCAGAGAGGCCAAGTCAGGTTCTGCAGGCACCACAGCAAAGAAGGCTGGAGGAGGGAATGTAGCACAGTCCATCATCCTCCCCCCCCCCCCCCCCCCCCCCCCCCCCCCCCCCCGTTCCCTGTCTCCCGGCCCTGTGGCAACTCACCTGAGGGGTCCCTGGAGGGGCTCGGTTGTAATGTACCATCCATGGAAATTACCTGACCAGTGGGGAGGACGGGAGGAGCAGTGAGGACATGGTTCCATCTGGGCCACCACCCTCCCTGGCAGAGCCCGCCCCAGCACTTACCCAGGTCCTTCAAGGGTTTCCCGGTGGGACCAGTTGGGGGCGCTGGCTGGTAGATATTAATCCCTGAAACACACAAGGAAATGCGGGGGTCTCAGGCCAGTGCCCTCCATGGTCAGGAATCTGAGCCACTGTAAGACCAGCCTAGCAGGGACCAGTGAGTCAGGGCTGGGCAGAAGGATGCAGGTGGGCGGTTATGGTGCGTCTGTGTGAGGGATCTGGGGGAAGAAACACAGGCCGAGGGAAAGAGCAAGGGTAGACCCAGGAGATGCAGGGCGGGATGGAGCTCCAGGGGGCAGGGGATGCAGGGTGGGATGGAGCTAACACAGGGAAGGAGGACGAAAGGGTTGCGGGGCAG